TTTTTTTTTTTTTTTTATATGTGGTTTTTTTCAGTGTTTTTTCATTAAATATGAGTTAATGAGAGAATAGGTTGTAGCCATACGCCAGTGATGTGCCGGTGATCTGACAAGATGGTGGTGGAATGAGTTTGGGTAATGTTGACGCTGTGTCGACGACATGGCTATTTACATGTGTAATCACCATTTCCTAGTGCAGACTATGCAGTTTCAGTGACTACATCTTTACAACACGAACATAAAATTCTTATAAATTCGATTTTCATATTTTTTTGGTTAACAATTAACCAATACCACCGTTTAAATAATTGTATTTTTCAATATTTTCATTCACATATTTACATATATTTATGTCCAATGTCGACAGTCAACCCTCTAACAATGTATTTCTTCCTCTTGCACGCCCTCGTTTGTTAAGTTCGACTATAAAAGCTAAGCATACGACGAGACAATATGGATAGCACAATTTAATTTAGAGCACATACAATAATAACCATTGTAAAAGAAATATAACGAATATTATTTGTTCATAATAGCGATAGGTAGGTAAGCAAAACCAATATAATATACTGGCATAAAACAGGACATACACCGAATATTCTGACCATCCAAGGTTAAACATTTTCAGCACTTTCAAAGCTAGGTATGCCTTCCGACATAATGCCATGCCATGTCATAAATGACACAATATGAATCCATCAGAGGCGACACAACACCAGGATTGGTTGGAATTGACACAATGACCCTATGTCAGAGAAGACATGTCAAACTCGGTCGGAAATAGCACAACGGCAAGCGTGGTCGGAATTGACTATGCGGTGCTATGTAGGAGCCAGCAGTTCACACACGAGAACTGACACTGACCAGCAGGAAGATCAAAGGTCAGGGTATGGTCCAGTAGCTCAGGTCCCAGTTTGGTGATATGATAACGTGTCATCACATTTTCTTAAACATTCAGTTTATGATTGGTGAGAAAACTCACAAACACTTAACAAAATAATCTTACACAGTGTATAAAAAAAAAGGCAAACAAGTATTTGGGTCCTGGTAATCAAAGTAAAAAAAACAACAACTTAATATAATAACAGTAATAATTATAATAAGATAAACTGAATTTGTTTTCATTATAGAAATTATATAGGCATGATATACACATCTTTTGTAGAAAAAAATTAATTAATGTATATGTGTGTTTATATGAAGTCCACGGTATGTGTGGGCGATACACTGGTCATACGGCACCCCAAATGTTTGTCTGCTAAATGATAAATGTTCCGGTATGTGTTTAAGCATCAGAGTTTTGTTTTGCTGAGTCGACACTGTCGTCATCGTCGTCGTCTAAATCTCCGGCTCCAGACCGTATGGAGGACAACATGGAGCGGGCAGATGACACTCTAGCACTAGGTCTGCAAATGGAGAAGAAAAAGGCACTGAGTATGTTATCGCAATGTAACACAGATAATTAGCGATGCACCATTACATATACACATGAATGCACTAGTATGTCTGAGAATAAACATGCTTAAGGTTTTTACAATGTGCTTGTACACCAGTTACGTTAGTAGTACATGTATATTGAATACTGATGATATGCACAATTCTTCCTCATCACCGACAGCTCTTATGCCTTTTATTCAGAAACATCAGTTTTTGTTTCTTGTTCTGGCAAAAAAAATATTAATTTAATTTAATTTTCCTTCAAGTATTTTTCAATCAAATGTAAAATGAGGATTTTGGATTGCCTTTCTTTAAACTTCTGACTTCCACATGCCAATGGTCCCATGATATTAATGAACCACACACACAAACTCAATTGTAAAACAACTGGTGAGGATAATGTAAACACAGGGTCAGGATTGTGTGTTATTGAACATCAAACATGATCTCAAAACAATAACATTATCTTTTAGATAGTTAACAGGCAATTGCCAGTCTCTAATGTGTTAATAGCTATGAAAACCTTGCATTACTTGTTGCTAGCATTTGAATTTAACCAAAATGCACTGCTGAAAGGGGGAAGCAAGGGAGGTAGCTGCCCCAACCAATTCAGCAGCAGAGGAAATTCATTTTATACAAAATAACGATGAAGCATTAGCATTTGGCAATGGCCGAGTCAGTGAGATTATGAATTGATAAAATTAATGATGACAATCAGGAACAACTCATATAATTACAAACACTATGACTCTTTTTTTTATGAAATAATATATGGTGACAAGACATGCTTTTACATCCCTATGTGAATGGACTACTGTCTAGTAAACTCAAACATGCAAGGATAAATAAATATTTCTGTCCATGCTAGGGCCATTTCAATTTACAATTGATATATTATCAAAACGGAGACAAATGAAAAACACACCTCAAAGATATATGCAAATGATTTTGAACAACTTCTGGTATGTCTGGAGGAAAACCATTTGTAGTTCACATCAAACAGTGAGACGGTGATGATGGGTTTGAGGTGGGTGGACAGGGTAATCAGTCACAGTACTCGTGATCTCGGCAAAAGTTAGCTTTATGTAAAAGTGGTGGACACACTGTTTGAAAAATAGCTAACCATGTGTGCTCTCCAAGCAGAACTTACGATGGGTTTGATTTCATACCATGCACACTACCATGTAATCTACATTTAACAAATCAAGTACATTGTTTAAATACAAAAAACATATGACAAAAGAAACATTAATTTCGTAGATTAAATTTTTTCCCTTTCTACTGTCTACTGTATCTATTCTCCTTAACAAATACTTCGTTCAGGGACATATCCTTAAAACATTGTTCAACATATCATCTTCTAGTGTGTCGAAAGCTGAAGCAGAAATTCTTAAAATGGAAAATAAGAAATACTTCATGCAGCATTCCCCCAAAAATCAATAAAAAAAAAAGAGAAAACCTTTAAAAAAATCTAGATATATTGATTATTAGCGCTCCAGGAAATTAGTTAGATTAACTCAGGATTTTCTGATGCACATTTGGCAGATAAACAATATTAATAACTACATGATGATACACGACTAGGAATATGCACTGGGCCAAAAAGTCGCAAGCATTTCACGTAGGAACAAAGACGTACAATAGGCAATTAAGAATGCCTTGGCTAGCAGAGGCCGCAGGTAGATCAATCTGAGTTTTACCTGTCTGACCAAACAGGTGTCAGATCATCAATTAGAAGCTTTCTCCCCCGATCTGTGAATTCAGAAATGTACATGTAGCTAGGAACACACATACCTCAGATCAACAACCCAGTCTGTCCCCCTCGTCTATAGCTATACCACACGTAACTAGCATTCTACCATCCACAAGCGCCTGTTCATTACAGTTAACCTCTGGCATCAACTCCCCCGTGACGAGCTGCTAGATTCATACGGAAAGGATTTTGAATACAGTATGGAATTGAAATGAATGCAAGCCTCAAGACACTTGAACACTCAAAAGATTTTGCAACTGTCGTAACCTACCATAATAAGAAAGCAGGGGATATCTCGGTGTATAAACATTTGATGAGACATCTCTAGAAATTATTTCAGAGTTGCCCGTTCTGTCCTAAAATCTGTCAATTGAGATGATTTTGTGGTGCTAATAATTAAATCAAGGCTGATGGGAAAGGCAAGTGCTTGTGACTTAATGAGAAATAATACGACTAACTGGTGACACTGTGGGGGGCGCTGCGGTTATCATAATGCAATAATGTTCAAATGACATTTTGTTGAGTTACGTAAGCACAGTCTAGACTCTAGTTGATAATCACACGACATGCATACTGTTAGACGATGTTTAAACTCGTAATATCAACCCAGACGGAGGCTCCACCAAAATCTAAGCTCGCAATGTAAATGAAATTGGTGAGTCCGTCAACAATCTCTACACTCGTTATATCAACCAAGACGGAGGCTCCACCAAAAATCAATGTTTGCAATGTAAACAAAGATGGAGACTCCGTCGTCAACAATCTCTAAACTTCAGTAGCATCAATCAACACAGTGTTACGGTCCACATATCTACATGAATGATTTACAGCTAGTAAACCATTTGCCTTTTTTGGTGAAGCTGATGAATGAAACTAAATTACACTGCACATACATTAGGTGATTACTGACACAAAAAGACTGCCTAACCTTAGATCTAAAATCCTAGTATAAAATATAGAAATGAACTTTGTTAGTACATCAGAGGACAAAAATCTACATCTACAAACTTCATAGTTCAATATAGTTAAAATTACAAATCATTCAGCAGAATTTTGACAAAGTCTTGACCCAACATTATATGTTTTATTATGGAAAACAGTTGAAATTTAGTAGTACGGTATTTTTCAATGCCTCACACATCTGGGAAACTGTATACCTCATAACAAAATAAAAATACTTATTTTTTTATATTCTTTCCTTAAAATGACGAAAAATGTCAACTCTACATGAAACGGTGCCATTTTTAAGGAGAATGTACAATTTAGAATACAATTATGGGCGATATCAAAATACAAGCACCATTTAGATTAGGAAGTTACAACCATGACCAGGTATCTACATTTCCTCGAGATGAAAAACTTTCAGCATTAGTTCAGCTCACCTGTATTTTTTCAACTGAGATATTTCTCTAGCTGTCGATTCACTTTGTTCCATTTGTTCATCAAGGTCACGCTGAAGTTTGCGTTTGGCTGCGTTCATCCTTGTAATTTCCTCCTCTGCCTCGTCTAATTGTCGCTTCAGAGCTCGTACACGATTGTTCATCTTGTCATTCTGTTGATTATCATAATTCATTAACTTAAATTCGCATAAAGAATTTCATGCTCCTGGATAAAAACTTGAGAAATATTTTTAGTGAAAAACGCATCTCGAGTTTTTCTACAGTTAACCTGATCACAATGTACAATGTTTGGTGTGAACTAAGAGCAATGCAGTATTAGTTACCTGCTCCTTGAACTGGTCTGCATGGCGACGTTCATCCTCAGCCTGTAACACCATCTCTTTCAACTTCTTTTCCAATCGACGAACAGATCGCTGCATATTTGTTCGGTCCCTGGATAAAAAACAACAACACACTTAGCTAACATCTCTATAAACTTGTCTAAACCTGTGCAAATCTCCTGATACAGTCAGTAAACAAAACAAGCCAAGCCCGACCTCTTCAGTTCCAATGAAGGTACAACCACGTAAGACATGTCTTGACATTAAGAAAAGGGTCTATGGTATTGAAAGGCAGAGTTTCATGCCATCTAGTTGTGACATGCACATCTAAGAGTCTTGTGGTAATCAAAAGTTATGGAGCAGACAAAGTGTAAACTATGTTCCCTCAACCCACCCCATCTTAAACAAGAAAAAATATTGCAAGGCATTCCATAGTCCCCTGCCAGTTATGATAACTTTATTTACCCAGCTGTAAATCTCGGGATATATATATTCACAGACATACTTTTTGTACTCCTAACGCCCCCTGCCAAGACATACTTGCATGCTTAATCTGGTTACTCTAGGCGTAATAGTAATTGAAGATATGCCCTGGACAAACCCTTCAGACTAACATAATTCGGACAGGCGAATGACGCCAACCTATAGCCCCCCCCCCCCAACCGGTAGGGGACTAAATCTAAAAAGTAAGGGGAGGGTGTGTGCATAGTACAGGAATATAAAACAAATATTTAAGGAAACTTAACATTGAAACAAATAAATCTTTACTCCACAGGACCCGACAGTGTGACCTACTTTGTTTCACTGTCGAGTTGTTCCTCAAGGTTAGCGACCTTGCCCTCTAGAGTGGTGATGGTGGCCTTGGTGCGAGTGCGTACGGTGTTCTCTAGGTCTTGTAGTTTCTCCCGAAGGTCCTTATTCTGTCTCTCCAGGGAGGACCGCTGGTTCTCCAACTTCTGTGTGACTGATTTCTCTGATGAAAGATCTGCCAGGTTTTGCTCTGCCTGCAATCAACAGCAATGTCAATAAAATAGTGGAATAATATCAAACTATATCCATATAAACCAGACGTTCTCAGTTGAACATATCACAAATTATCAAACAAGTACTCTAATATTTCTTTAACTAAAATCACTATGCATGTAACTTTTGAATTTCAATATTTTTTTGAAAATATTGAAATTCTTTGATGTTTAAACGAGGCTAAAAAAAACCTTGAAAGAAATAAATTACAACTATGAATTGAAATCCAAAAGTAGCACCTTACAAAATTCTGAAGCAGAAATAACAAATATGTCAATACAATGCCGGACTTCTTACCTGCATTTGTGCCTTGCGAGCTTTTTCAAGCAGCAATTCACCGTTGGTCTGTTCATCCTCCAACTCGTCCTCTACCTGCTGTAACCGTGCCTCCAGTCGGCGTTTCTCATCCAACAACGATGACCTGCAAACAGACACGTAACTCAGCAGGGGGTCTCAACACCTCACACAGAACAGGTAACAATTTAAAATTTTGAAACTTTATGCTACATCATGACAAGCTCACGTAACAATTTAACTCAATATTTTCCCTAGCTTTACAAATTGGATAATTTTAAAACGTATCTGTCACTTAGCAAATGAACAGAATTGGAGTTTCCCCAAAACATTTGTTTGATTTCCCTGGATTTTCATTAGGTTTACTCCATGTTTCAGTTAACTTCAAAAATCTCTTCTAGCACATTGTTCCAAGCACATTGTTTAAAATACAATTCGCAATATTTTCCTACACAACTTAGACAGTAATGTGTAACTTACAAGGCTCTTATGGGCACACACAGGGAATAGGGTGTTTTGGGGGATCATACAAGGTGTAATTGTACACCCAAACGTTAATGGATAGAGTTGGATAGTAAGGACTTGCTTCATACCAGTAATAACACGTTTTCAAATTGATGCATACAGGATTACTCAAATTTTTCTTGCATGCATAGTGTGATTTGGGAAAATTAGTCTTTATTTTTTAAATTCTTCTAGAAAAAAATTGTTATTACCTGTTTTTTTGAATTACACAAAAAGGCAAAAGTAGTTTGTTATTTATATGTGAAATATTCATTCTGCCTACAAACATGGGTTGACATGAAAAAAGATCTTGACAAACTAGCGCTCTAGGAAAATACATGGAAAATGAT